GCTGCTCACGGTGGTCGCAGGGCAGGCAGGTGCCGCGCGACGTGGTCGGTCGGTCGGTCGACCTGCGGTGGTGCGCCGGCGGACTCGACGGGCGGCGCGAACCCCTTGACGCGCGGGCCGACCGCGGTCGGGGGCCGGGAGCCATGGGGGCCCAGAAGTACGAGGCGATCCCGTCCGGGGCCGAGGAGCAGCCCGGGCGCATCGGCATCGTGCCGACGATCCTGCTCACGTTCATGGCGGCCTTCGGGTTCATCGCGTCGACGATGTCGACGGAGAACTACAAGGCCGCGGCCATCAAGAGCGTCGAGTCGTTCTACCGGGCCGGGCACGCGCTCGAGTCCGCGGGGCTCGGCGTGTCGAGCGCGGACAACGCCCTCCTCGTCAACGGCAAGGTGCTGGCCTGCTCCTGCGACTGCAGCGAGGCCGTGCTCGGCGCGTCGGCCGACGAGCTCGCCGCGGACCTGACGACGGCCGCGCCGACGGCGACCAAGTACTGGGACCTCTTCTGGACGGACGGCGTCATCGCCGAGGGCGACGACGACCTCGACGAGTCCTACGTCTGGACGACGGACCAGGCCGACGCGGGCATCGTCGCCACCGTGCTCGTCGACACGCTGGGCAAGGCCAAGGGCGTCGACATCGACCTCAACGGCACGACGGTCTACTTCACGATCGACGGCTGCATCGGCCGCGTCGACAAGGACGGCTACGACCTCAAGGAGATCGTCTGCTACGACTTCGACACGGCGTCGTCCATGGAGGGGTTGGCCATCTACGACGCCTACAACAAGCTCTACTGGGTCGACTCGGACACGGGCTCGCTCTACGAGACGGCCCTCGAGGGCAACGACGGCACCTACAGCGTCGTCTACTCGGGCTTCGACGCGCCCCTGGACGTCGCCGTCGACGAGACGGCGGCGAAGCTCTACGTCTCCGCCGCGGACGGCGTCTACAAGATGGACATGGACGCGTCGGACGTGACCATGGTCCTCTCCGCGGCGTCGACGGGCCTCACCTTCCGCGGCCTCGACGTCGACGCGTCGAACCGGAACCTCTACTTCTGCGCCGACGATACCGTGTATGGCGCGTCGCTCTTCGACCCCTCCGACGACTACGAGGCGCTCTACGAGGGCCTGACGACGCCCGTCGGCGTCGCCGTCGACGGCAGCCAGGACCTCCTCTTCTTCACGGACGAGTCGGGCGTCTACCGCGGCTCCCTCGACGGGTCCCTGGACAAGATCTTCGTCGCCATGGTCGAGGACGCGCGCTTCGCGGCGATCCTCTCCGAGGCCGCGCCGACGGCCGCGCCGACGCCCGTGCCCACGTCGCACCCGTCCAAGGCGCCGACGAGCCACCCGTCCTACCTGCCGACGGCCCACCCGTCCAAGTTCCCGACGGCCCAGCCCTCGAAGCTGCCCACGACGTCGCCGTCGTTCCTGCCGACGCCGACGCCGTCGTCGTTCCCGACGCCCGTGCCCACGTCGGCCCCCACGGGCGTGCCCTACCCGTCCCCGACGCCGGTGCCGACGCCGACGCCGTCGTCGGCGCCGTCGACGCACCCCAGCGCCCTGCCCGTCCCCAAGCCGACGTACGTGCCGACGCCCGTGCCGAGCGCCGTGCCGACCGTCGCGCCGACGACGCAGTGCTTCATCAACATGAACCAGTGCGGCTACTGCGACGGCCAGGCGGGCTACGAGTGCAAGGGCGAGCCCGCGCCCACGGCGAAGCCCTCCTTCGCGCCCGTCGCCAGCCCGATCGTCGTCGCGAACGCGCCGTCGCCGACGCTCGCGGTGAACCCCGTGCCGACCTACGGCGTCGTCGCCACGGTGCCCGCGCCGACGGTCTCCGGCGACGACGCGCCGACGCACGCGCTCCACACGAACGCGCCGACCCGGAGCCCGCTCCCGCCGGAGCAGCCGCCGCCGCATCCGAACACGGTCCACCACCAGAACCGGACGTCCTACCCGACGCTCGAGCCGACCTACGGCGTCGTCGCCGCGGGCGGCGGCGGCTCGTCCTAGGCGCACGGCCGCGCCCTCCCTCCCCTCTCCCGCCCGATCGCACCGAGGCCGCCTTTCGCGGCATCCCTCGGCCTTAATCTCCCGACTTTAGATCGCGGGGTTGAATCCGCCGGGATCGTCCCGAGGGTCGCGGGGTCGCCGTCGTGGGGTCGCGCCCGGAGCCTCCCTCGCCGCGGGATCACACCGAAGCCTGCCTCGCCCGCGGGATCACACCTCGTTCTGCTTGTCGTCGCCGCCCTCCGGCTCCACGAAGAACGCGGCGGACGTCTCGATCTCGACCGCGCACTCGTCGTCGGTGACGCACTCCGTCAGCGGGTTGATCTTGCGCGCGACGCGCTGCAGGCGCGAGCCGACGAACTCGCTCTTGCCCATGGACTTGTTGAGCACGCGCTTCCACGCGTTGACCTGCGCGGTCGTTCCGTCCGCGGGCGCGTTCGAACGGTTCCGGGCGCTCTCTCGACGTCGTCGCGCGCGAACGCGCGAGGGCGTCGATGCGCGGCACCCTTTCTTTACGCGACGTTGCGTTGCGGACGCGGCTTTACTCGCCGTTGACACGTGCCAGGCCGGCTGCACGGCCACCGGCACGGCGCCGGAGTCGACCGCTTTCGAGGCCTCGGTTGAACTTGTCGCTCCCTGGTCGCCGGGCCAGGGCGTCACAGGTCTCGGCGCACGAAAGGCGTTCGCGACGCTGATTGTCGCTAGTAAGGCTTGAATGGCACGCATTTTTGGCTCGATGGATGAGTGGTTCTGGGCAGGCGGCTCGGATCTCGTGAAGATCTTGTGGAGAATCGCCGAACAGCGGCGCCCGGCGCCCGCGCGCCGAGCCCCTCACGCCCGCGCCATCGCCATCGCGATGCGACGCCTCTAACAATCCCCCCGCGCCGCCATCGCGATGCGACGCCTCTGGTTTGCGCTCCTGGGCGTCGCCGCGAGCGGCGCAGACCTGCCCCAGCGGGTCATCCAGTACGGCGCCGTGCGGACCGCGAGCACGCTCCTGTACCAGGAGCTCTGCGTCGTTTTTTTCCTCGTGCACGGCGAGCGCGGCGACGTGTCCTGCTCCTTCAAGAGCCCGGGCAAGTACCCGCCGCTCCCGTCGCCGCGGAAGCGACGGTTCGACGTATTGAAGATGCACCGGCCGCCTCTTTCGGACTCCCACAACTCCCGCGTCTGGGTCTTCGCGACGACGAACGCCACGGGCGACGCGGCGGCGCTCGACGCATTCCGGGCGCGCGGCTTCCCCGTGAAGCTCGTCCAGGCGACGGACGAGCTCGCGCGGCGCGGGCACCAGGAATTCGCGGCGCGGCTCGCGGACGTCTTCGACCTAGGCAGCGACGACCGGCGCGCGCTCTACGCCTACGTGCGCTCCTGGAAGGTCCTGCGCCAGTGCTGCGGGCCCCAGATGTCCCAGGACTGGTACCGCGAGCTGCTGCGGCGCGCCGGCACGGCCGTCCCGGGGCCGCCGCACCACGCGCGGGACTCGCCGTCGTACCCGGCCTGCGAGATCTACGACCTCGACGCCGTCGAGGCCGCGCTCCTGGCGACGGCCGTGGTCCGGCGCTTCGGCGCGCGCGCGCCGATGCTCCGCCGCGTGTCCCAGATCGACGGCGACCTCAACGGCACCTACTGCAGCGCCGTCAACGCGCGCATGGCGGCGACGAACACGGGCGCCGAGACGTTCAAGGAGCGCGTCGGCATCTACAAGCGGGGGCGTCGGCCGCCGGGCGCGTAATTGCGAGCGTTTGTTGACCAAGTTATTGAAGGGAGACGCGCACTCGTTGAAGCCCAGGTGTCCTTTCGAACTCGAAACGCTCGCCGTCGGGGCTGCCTGCAATCCACCGTCGTCGTGAGTACCATGGGCGAGGAGCTTCCGGAGATCCCCGGCCGGGACACGATCCTCTTCAGCAGCTGGGTCTTCGTCGCCGCGTCGCTGCTGCTGCTCGCCGAGTTCGTGCTCATCTACCTCGGAGCAGCCCAGGAGCTCTACTACGAGTCGGAGGCCAAAGTGGCCTGGGCGACGCCGCACGTCGTGTCCATCCTAGGCGTGCTCGAGGCCGTGGGCTGGGCCCTGGGGTTCGTGGCGCTCATCGACTGGCTCGTCTGGCACGCCTTCGACGCCTGGGGAAAGGATAGAGGCGCGCTCTGGGCCGCCGTGCTGAAGCTCGTCGCGTCCGTCCTCTTCTGCATCCAGCCGGCGTCGCAGCTCGGCGATCCCAAGTCCGCCGTGCTCGTCAAGGGCCTCGGCTGCGCCTGGAGCAACTTCGCGGGCATCTGCTTCTTCCACGCCGGAAACGTCGCCGACGCGCTCCGCGTGCCGCTCCCTGACGGCTTCGCCCACGCGAACTGGCCGTCGCTGGGCATGTACGTCTACGTCTCCGCGACGTGGCTCCTCGTCGCGGCGGACGCGCTGGCCTACTTCGACTTCAAGGGGTCGCCCTACGGCGCGCCCGCCGCGCCGAAGATCGGCCGCCGGCAGCTCGAGCTCATCTGCCCGCTCCAGATGGCTGGCGCGTCGCTTCTGGCCGTCGGGTCCCTCATCTACGTCGCCTGGGCGCGGCGCGGCCGCGCGCCCGCGGCCGCCGGCGACCGCGACGCGCCGCTCCTCGGCGCGGTTCAGGCGTAGGGTGTGTGGTTAACGCAGAAGTTGTGGCGCTATTTCGCGGTGGCCGGCGACCGCGACGCGCCGCTCCTCGGCGCGGTCCAGGCGTAGGGTGTGTGGTTAGCGTAGAAGTTGTGGCGCTATTTCGAGCGTGGGGATGTAGCACCAGTGCACGACTCCTGGGCCGCGAGCACACGACAACGCGACGGGCACGGCCACATCGCAAGGCGCCCAGCCGACACAGGCGGTCGACGGCGGACACCAGGCCAGGTCGAGCGCGCGAGGCAGATCGCTCCGCAGAGCGCGCGCCATCCGCGCCGTCGCGCGTCGCATCGATCCGCAGCCCGCACCGACGCTCGCCGCATCGATCGCAGCCCATGGCCGGCGAGCTGCTCACGGAGTTCCTCGAGGTGGCCATCCACGTGATCCTCTTCGAGCGGAAGGTCTACCCCGAGGACATCTTCACGCGGCAGCGCGCCTTCGGCGTGCCCGTGACCATGTCGCGGCACCCAGACGTCAACGCCTACATCAAGAAGGTGCTCGGCGACGCGCGGCCGCTCTTCGACGCGCGCGCCGTCGAGTCGCTCGTCGTCGCGGTCACGGACGGCGGCGGCGAGCCGCGCGAGCGCTTCGTCTTCGACGTCGGCCTCGGCGGCGGCGCGGCGCCGAGCCCGGAGGCCGTCGAGGCGACGGAGTACGCCATGCGCGCGCTGCTCGCCAAGCTCGCGGTCGCGCGGGGCCACCTGCCGCCGCCGCGGCCCGACGCGGAGTTCCGTTTGTTCCTGCACACGCGCGAGAACCCGCGCGTCGTCGCGCCCTTCGCCGCCTCGCCGGAGAGCGGCTACGTCGACGCGCGGCGCGACGCCGCCGCGGCGCCCCTGGGGCCCGGCTTCGACGTCGTGCCCGTGCGCGACGTCGCGACGCCGCTCGCGGAGTTCGCCCTCCGCGTGGAGGTCGCCGCCTAACGGAGAACCCAGACGCGCGCCGTGCGGTCCTCGGCGCCCGTGACGAGGCGCGCCCCGTCGGGGGCGAAGGCGCAGCAGTAGACCGTCTCGGCGTGGCCCGCGAGCGTCTCCAGGCGCGCGCCCGTCGCCGCGTCCCAGACGCGCGCGGTCCGGTCCCAGGACGTCGTCGCGACGCGGGACCCGTCGGGCGCGAAGGCGACGCTCTCGAGGCGGCCGTGCGTCGCTTGGTTCGCGTCGGCCGGCGGCGCGTGGCCCGCGAGCGTGTGTAAACACGCGCCCGTGGCCGCGTCCCAGATCTTGCCCACGCCGTCCCAGCTCGACGTCGCGAGCCGGGACCCGTCGGGCGAAAAGGCGCAGGCCGTGACGCGGTCGCCGTGGCCGGAAAAGGTCCGCAGGCACGCGCCCGTCGCCGCGTCGAAGAGCTTCGCGGTCTCGTCGCTGCTCGCCGTCGCCGCGCGTGCGCCGTCGGACGAGACGTCGCAGCCCCAGAGGTCGCCGCGGTGCTTCCGCGCGTCGTGGCCCCGGAGCGTGGCCAGCTCCTCGCCCGTGGCCGCGTCCCAGACCTTGGCCGTGCGGTCCTCGCTGGCCGTGACGACGCGGCGGCCGTCCCGGGACCAGGCGGCGCCGTTGACCGCCGCGCCGTGGGACCGCAGCGCCACTAGTACGTCGCCCGTCGCCACGTCCCAGACGAGGGCCTCGTTGGCCCAGCTCGCCGTGACGACAAAGGTCCCCGGGCCGGGGCTCGCGCTCAGGACGGCGTCCGCGTGTTCGTCGAAGACGCGGAGCCGCTCCTGGGCAGCAGAAGAGAGATTCAACGTCGCTTCAACGTGAGTGTTCCGCGCGCGCGCGTAACAAAAAACACATCCACGCTTCGAGACCGTTCCGAGAGATGATCGCTCGTCCAAGAATCAGCCGAAACGAGTGGAAAACGGCCGAGATATGAGCCTTTGAAGTTGGGAATTTCGCTCTCTTGTGCTGCCCTGAGCCGCTCGCCGGAGTCCGCGTCCCAGACCCGGACCCTGCGGTCCCAGCTGCCCGTGACGACGCGGGACCCGTCGGCCGCGAAGCAGCAGCAGTAGACGGAGTTCATGTGGCCGAGCACGCAGGCCAGGTTCGCGGGCCACGGCGCGTCCGCGTCGTTGTGGCAGTAGGCCTCCCCGGCGGCGATCATGGCCTTCCAGCGCCGGTGCCGCGCCGCCTGAAGCTCCCGCGCCGGCGGTTCCGGTGCCGCGGCGCGCGGCGACGCCGCCGGCCGCAGGCCCTTGAACGTGATCCAGCACGCGACGGGCTGCGTGACGCGGGCCCGCGTTTTCGCGCCGCCGTCGATGGCCACGGTGGCGTCGACGTGCAGCACGGTGCCGGGCGCGAATTCCCGGACCTTGGCGCTCGTCATGGACTCGGTCTCGCGCGCGAGCGCGCCGTTCTTGGAGGTGACGCGGTACCAGCCGGGCGACATCGTCGGGCCGCCCATACTGCCTCCTCCGAGTCGGTAGGTTTACTTCATAGTGCACGCATCTTCCGTCGCGCTACCCTAGCCCAGGAGCCCCAAGACCAGGTCCTTGATCGCCCCCAGGGCCTCGTCCTTGACCTCGCCTTTCGCCTCCGCGGACGCGTCTCTGGCGCACGTGAAGATGCTGGAGGCGAAGCCCTCGTCGTCCTCGTCGTCCGCGCCCACCCCGTCGTCCGCTTCCCCGTCTTCCCCGGCGTGCATCTCTTGCTGAACCTCGCCGTCCTCGACTTGTTTCTTCGTCGCGGCGAGGTCCTCCGCGCGCGGCCGCGCGCCGATGAAGACGCTCACGGTCATCGTGCCCAGCGCGTCGCGCGCGCCGCCGTATTTCAGGACCTTGAACTCGCCCTTGACGCTCTTGTTGGCCAGGAGCTTCGGCTTGAGGACGACGGCGCCGAGGCACGTCGGCGACCCGAACATGGACGCCTTGGAGTACACGGCGACGAGGACGTTCCGGGCGACGTCGGGGATCGCGGCTTTCACCCGAAAGTTCCACTCGGGCGAGAGCGTCTTGGGCACGTGCTCGGACTCGTGGTCGCCCTCGAGGTTCTTGACGACGACGTACGGGTCGCTGTCGACCTTGTCGCCGCCGAACATGCCGCCGAACATACCGCCGGCGTTCGCGGCGCGGAGGCCCGCGGCCGAGTGCACGGTGAGGTCGATGACGCCGCGGCCCTGCGGCGGCCGCGCGAGCGGCGCGAGCCCCTGCGGCTCGGCGTCCGCGCGCTTGGTCGCGAACCACACGCCGAGCCTCAGCTCGCCCGCGGGCTCCTTGTTGCGCTCGAGCGCGCGCCAGAATTCGGGTTCACGGTTCGCGAGGTCGTCGAACGCGACCGTCGCCTTCGACGGGTCGTGGCGCTTCGCGGCGTCGCACTGGACCTCGAACTCGAGCGGGTCCGCGGCCTCGACCCAGAACGACAGCGAAGGCCGCGCCTAGGCGCCTTGCAGCAGTCGAACGTGATCTTGCCGCCGCTCGTCTTGTCGCAGGCGGGGTCGATCTCGAACATGCCGACCTCCTGGTTCTTGTACAGGAGCCGCACCTCGCCCCTCGGGGCTTTCGTTAACATCGAGAACATGGACTTGTCATATGGCACGCCCTTGGCGCCGAGGAGCGTCACTTCGACGTAGCCGCCGTACTTCTTGCCGTCGAGGCGATCCATCGCCGCCTTGGCGGCGCTGGCGGCAGCCTTGTCATCGGCGATGATCGCGCAGGCCTGTTCGAAGCCGGCTCCCGGAGAGCCGACGCGCGCGCCGTCCCCACCGCCACCGTACTCCACGGGCGGCGCCATACCTTCCTTCAGTGTCCGAAAATGCACCCCCTACTTGCTAGATATGTAACGGCAAATTGAGCATTGTCCTTCGCCCCTCAGAAGCCGCGTCCGTGTTACAGCCCGAGGAACGCCGAGAGGCGCTTCTGGAGCGACGGCGCGAGCTTCGCGCGGAGCGCCGCGGCGTCCCGACACCGCGCGAGGCCCGCGTCGCCCATGTCCCGCGCGCGCGCGAGGCCCTCGTCGAGGCCCGCGAGGTCCCGCGCGTCGACGGCGGCGGCGAGCGTCGCCTGGAGGTCGAGCTGGTCGTACATGCGCGCGACGAGCTCCTCGGCGTCGATGATCTGGCTCACGTCGAGGCCGGGCACCTTCGTCGTCTGCACGAGGTTGAGCTGGGCCTCGAGGTCCATGGCGTGGTAGTCGCGCGCGCCGTCCTCGCTCGCGACGGCCTCCTCGGCCGCGCGGATCAGCTCGTCGAAGCGCGCGCGGACCTCGTCCGCGTGCTCCAAAATCTCGAGCTGCTCGAACGCGGCCTCGACGTCCTCGTCCGTCGCCGCCGCGCCGTCGACGACGTCCTTGAGCTCGATGGGCACGATGCCCATGTCCACGAGGGGCTGCAGGTCGCTCATGTTGCCGCCGACCTCCCGGAGCCTGACCAGCTTCCGGTCGACGGACGCGCGCCGGAGCTTCGCGTAGGAGCTCGACGGCGCGCCGGACCGCGCGCCGCCGCCGAAGAGGAGGCCGTGGACGGCGCCGGCGCTCGGGGGCGCCGGCGCCAGCGGCACGAGGAGCGCGCCGGGCTCGAGCGCGCCCCCGCCGGCGGCCGCGAGGACTTTGCGCGCGGGCGCGAGCGCGTCGAGGACGTCGCGGACGTGGTCCCCGGGCGGGCCATTGCAGTCCGCGGCCTCGCAGAAGTGGACGAGGATGGGCAGCAGCTCCGCCGACGGGGGGAACGTCGACGCGCAGAGGAAGAGGAGCCGCCAGCACTTGAACGCGGACGACGCGGACGGGTTCTGGGACGCCTGCTTCGCGAGCTGGACGAAGATCTCGTCCCGCAGGTCCTCGGGCCCGCCGAAGCCGTGCGTCGCCAAATTTGCCGCCATGGCCTCCGGGTAGCTCATGAACATGTCGCCGCAGAAGCCGAGGATGTCGCGGTGGCACGCGCGCGCGACGTCCAGCGCGCGGCCGCCCAGGACGAGCTGCGACGTGTGCAGGGGCACGGCCTGGTGGACGAAGCGGCGCCGCAGCGCCGTCTGCTTCTCCGCCGCGGACGCGAGGCCCTCCGCGTAGTCCGCGGGCCTCCTTAATTTTCGGAACGACGCGAGGCCGAAGCCGTCGACGCCGTGCGCGTCGCGCAGCGTCGCCGCGGCCTCCTCGAGCGCGACGAGCAGCGCCCCGGCCTCCTCGAGGAGCCGCCCGTCGACGTCGCCCGCGTCGCGCGCGGCCGCGGCCGCGTCGGCCGTCCGCTCGACCATGTCCCGCGTCGCGGACGCGGACGAGCCGTCGGCGCCGCGCGACCGCGCGAGCATGGCCCGCCCCGCGACGACGACGTCCCGCAGCGCCCGCTCGGCGTCGAGGGACGCGACGAGCCGCGACGTCTCGCGGCAGAGCGCGCAGCCGCGCTCGAGCTTGACGAAGCGGCCGCGGCGCTCGCGCAGGAACGCGTCGACGGCCGCGAGCGCCTTCTTGGCGCCGTCGCCGTCGCGCGCCGCCGCCGCGTCCCGCAGGTCGCCGACGAGGCCCCGCTGGGCCTCGAGCAGGGCCGCGGCCGCGGCCGCGGCGGACCGCTCCGCGG